AGGCCCGGGATCGAATCCCACGTCGGGCTCCCGGTGCATGGAGTCTGCTTCCCCCTCTGCCTGTGTCTCTGCCTCTCTCTCTCTCTCTGTGACTATCATAAAAAAAAACTAGAGAACACTTCTGAAAGAAATTGAGGAAGACACAAAGAGATGGAAAAATATTCCATGCTCATGGATTGGCAGAATTAATATTGTGAAAATGTCAATGTTACCCAGGGCAATGTACACGTTTAATGCAATCCCTATCAAAATACCATGGACTTTCTTCAGAGAGTTAGAACAAATTATTTTAAGATTTGTGTGGCATCAGAAAACACCCCGAATAGCCAGGGGAATTTTAAAAAAGGAAACCATATCTGGTTGTACTACAAAGCTGTGGTCATCAAGACAGTGTGGTACTGGCACAAAAACAGACACATAGATCAATGGAACAAAATAGAGAACCCAGAAGTGGACCCTGAACTTTATGGTCAACTAATATTTGATAAAGGAGGAAAGACTATCCACTGGAAGAAAGACAGTCTCTTCAATAAATGGTGCTGGGAAAATTGGGCATCCACATGCAGAAGAATGAAACTAGACCACTCTCTTGCACCATACACAAAGATAAACTCAAACTGGATGAAAGATCTAAATGTGAGACAAGATTCCATCAAAATCCTAGAGGAGAACACAGGCAACACCCTTTTTGAACTCGGCCACAGTAACTTCTTGCAAGATACATCCACGAAGGCAAAAGAAACAAAAGCAAAAATGAACTATTGGGACTTCATCAAGATAAGAAGCTTTTGCTCAGCAAAGGATACAGTCAACAAAACTCAAAGACAACCTACAGAATGGGAGAAGATATTTGCAAATGACATATCAGATAAAGGGCTAGTTTCCAAGATCTATAAAGAACTTATTAAACTCAACAGCAAAGAAACAAACAATCCAATCATGAAATGGGCAAAAGATATGAACAGAAATCTCACAGAGGGAGATATAGAGATGGCCAACAGGCACATGAGAAAATGCTCTGCAACACTTGCCATCATGGAAATACAAATCAAAACCACAGTGAGATACCACCTCACACCAGTGAGAATGGGTGAAATTAACAAGGCAGGAAACCACAAATGTTGGAGAGGATGCGGAGAAAAGGGAACCCTCTTACACTGTTGGTGGGAATGTGAACTGGTGCAGCCACTCTGGAAAACTGTGTGGAGGTTCCTCAGGGAGTTAAAAATAGACCTGCCCTACGACCCAGCAATTGCACTGTTGGGGATTTACCCCAAAGATTCAGATGCAGTGAAACGCCAGGACACCTGCACCCCAATGTTTCTAGCAGCAATGTCCACAGTAGCCAAACTGTGGAAGGAGCCTCGGTGTCCATCGAAAGATGAATGGATAAAGAAGATGTGGTCTATGTATACAATGGAATATTACTCAGCCATTAGAAACGACAAATACCCACCATTTGCTTCAACGTGGATGGAACTGGAGGGTATTATGCTGAGTGAAGTAAGTCAATCGGAGAAAGACAAACAGTGTATGTTCTCATTCATTTGTGGAATATGAATAATAGTGAAAGGGAATATAAGGGAAGGGAGAAGAAATGTGTGGGAAATATCAGAAAGGGAGACAGAACATAAAGACTCCTAACTCTGGGAAATGAACTGAGGGTGGTGGAAGGGGAGGAGGGCGGGGGATGGGGGTGAATGGGTGATGGGCACTGAGAGGGGCACTTGATGGGATCAGAACTGGGTGTTATTCTATATGTTGGAAAATTGAACACCAATAAAAATAAATTTATTTTTAAAAATATTTTATTTATTTATTTATGATAGACATAGAGAGAGAGAGAGGCAGAGACACAGGCAGAGGGATAAGCAGGCTCCATGCCAGGAGCCCAACATGGAACTCGATCCTGGGACTCAAGGACCGTGCCCTGGGCCAAAGGCAGGCGCCAAAATGCTGAGCCACCCAGGGATACCGTAAAAATAAATTTATACAAAAAAAAAGTGCTCTGAAAGACAGAATAAAATCTCATTCCATCTAACTAACAAAGACCAGCTTGGGGAGGGAATCTGAAAATAAATCAGACACGCCATGAAATTCTATTGCAATGGTTTTCAAAGCTTGGTTACAGACCAGCAGTATCACCATCATCTGAATACTTGCTTAAAATTTGAGTTCTGGGGCCCCACTCAAACCTACTGAAGCAGAAATTTTGGAAAATTCTGAAGTATATCAGAGTCATCTGGAGGACTTTTTATTTTTTTATTATTTTTTATTGGAGTTCAATTTGCCAACATATAGCATAACACCCAGTGCTCATCCCATCAAGTGCCCCCCTCAGTCCCCGTCACCCAGTCACCCCGACCTATCTCCCTTTCTACCACCCCTTGTTCATTTCCCAGAGTTACGAGTCTCTCATGTTCTGTCTCCCTCTCTGATATTTCCCACTCATTTTTTTCTCGGAGGACTTTTTAAAATACAGATTTTTGAAACTAAGTCCAGAGTTTCTGATTTGGTAGGTATGAGATGTCACCTTAGGATTTGCATTCCTACCAAGTTCCCAGGTGATGGTGCTGCTGCTGGTCTGGTAAACCACAGTTTGAGAAACACTGTCCTAAAGGGAATGGTGAATTAAGTCGAAGGCAAACAATCATTATTGACCTATGGAAACTTACTAATTACCAGTACTGCTGAAAGCTAATAGCTCACAGGCCTAGTACATAGCAGAAGTCTTTGCCATGGAATATAAAAACCAGAAGAGACTTTGTGCAGGGCTAGCATGATAATATTGGAAACTCATGGGATCTCAAAGATATGGCTGATATTTCTCTTAAAACCGTTGACAAATATTGAAGCTCCTTAGGAAATGAAGCTACAGAATTAAGTTGGAAACATCTGAAAAGCAGAGCTGCATATCTGCCAGGCTCCCACATAAAATTTAAAAGCACTATGGCTTAGGGACAGGGGTAATCTGGAGGTAATTTAGTAGTTTTACCAAAATTTAAACTTAATGCCAACCCTTGGTTGAATATGATAAGTCACTTTATTCTATCTGTCTGATGAGAAAAAGAAGATATTCTCTCAGACAAAGTGTATCATCTGGAAAATTTACACTTGTCTATACACAATGGCTGGCATATTGAATTAATTCCAGTATAATTATCATACAGTTTTATAAGTTTCAGGTGTGCAATATAGTGATTCAGCAATTTTCTACATTACTCAGTGTTTAATACTTTAAGTGCACTCTTAATCCCCGTCACCTATTTCATCCATTCCCCCCAACCACCTTCCTCTGGCAACCACCTCTCTGTTCTCCATATTGAAGAGTCTGTTCTTTCATTTGTCTCTTTTTTGCTTTATTTGTTTGTTTTGTTTCTTAAATTCTACATATGAGTGAAATCATATGGTATTTTTTTCTCCAATGTATAAATGGCCAAGAGACACATGAAAAGATGCTCAACAGCAGTCATCATCAGGGAAATTAATTCAAAACCACAGATCACCTCACACTTGTCAGAATGGCTAAAGTCAAAAACCCCAAGAACAGTAAGCGTTGCTGGGGATGTGGAGTAAGAGAAACTCTTGCACACTATTGGTGGGAATGCAAACTGGAGCAGCCACTGTGGAAAACAGTATAGAGGTTCCTCAAGAAATTGAAAATAAACTACCATATGATCCAGTAATTCCACTACTGGGCATTAACCATACAATGCATCCTCATATTTATGGTCATCTCTGTAACTGACAACATATGAGGTCACTCTATTTATTCAAATTTATCTTTCCATGTAGACTCCACTGGGAGGTATATATTTGCTAACAGGTTTTGCAAGTGGCTAAGATATACATTCTGGACATCTAGGTGAATAATAAAATAAAACAAGACTAGTTATAAGACATGGTAGCATGTTGGTAGAGTAAGTGCCTGACACTAAGCTTTTGATTTCTGAGGCATCCAATTCAAGGAAAACCATGTTAATACACATATTGTCAGGTATATGACACTATTATCAGATAAGCACTCAGGCTGCCCCCAGCTGTGAAGTACCTCTTCAGAAAGTCCTGGGTAACCTCCAAACTGACATGAGTGACCTTGCTTTCCCTTTCTGTGCCATAATTTCACTATTATGTTTAAAAATCATAAATAAAGAGTGGTTCTGCAAATCACTAGCCACCTTCCCATAGATCCCAAGAAAGGCAGGGCCCAGTTCTGACCTTTATCACTTTCTCTCTGAAATTCTGCCTTCCCTATCCCCCTATACCTTTCTGCCTCTGCCCTACAGGACCAGAGGCAGAAAGGTCTTATGACTAAATACTAAATACTAAATCTTGTTTTGTTAGAGTTCTCTGATGCATGCTGTTGAGGAATATCTTGAAATTACAGTAGGAACCCAAGGGCCAGTACAGCTGCAGCCACAGCAGAAGATCTGGTCAAGGAAGTTTCTATGGGAATGTCCATAAGTACATGGATGCAGGTGAGTGCCTGGACTCTCCTAGCCTGAGCATCCCTATCAGGAGCTTGAGACTTAAAGGGAATAAAGTTAGAGTCCACATTATCAAGAAGAGGAATGAAGGTAGTGATGGAAAAAGATTGGCAAACTCAAGATGAAAATTGGGGTTTTGTATTCTCCTCTACAATAAAGTAATGTGAAGGGCTTGGTGGTCAATGTAGTTTCTTCCATATAAACTATACAACTAATTATTATTCTTTTGGGAAATATAGGGAAAATTTACATCACATGCTATAAATCATTTGAAATAAAATTGGCTTTCCAAATCCTATTTGTCCCATGTAAGATACAGACAAAGAGGAAAACAGACAAAGTGAGTTCCTTATATGTGTGGAGAAATTGAATTCAAGCACATAGAAATTTCAGGAAATAAATAGAAGGAGAAGGTTCTACTTTTACAGCCTGATCAAAGAATGGCAATTCCTGGCTTGGAGGCTGTGAGCCCTGCAATCATGAGCACTTCTTCAGCCCCAGGATGATGGGCCCTTATATCACTGGAGCCCCAATGATTCTTTTCAGAGCCCTCTTTATGTCTCTGTTCCTCAGGCTGTAGATGAAGGGGTTTAGCATAGGTGTGACCACTGTGTACATCACCGAGGCCACTGCACTTGAGTGGGAGCTCTGGGGAGCAGCAGAGCTAAGGTACACTCCCAGGATTGTACAATAAAATAAGGAGACAACAGAGAGGTGAGATGCACAAGTGGAAAATGCTTTATACTTTCCCTGAGCAGATGAGATTCTATGTATCGAAGAGACTATCTTAGAGTAAGAGTAAAGGATCCCAGCTAAGGAAGAACCACCCAACAATCCAGCTGCAAAATGCATCACCTTGTCATTAAGAAAGTTGTCAGAACAAGCAAGTTGGACCACCTGATTGATTTCACAGAAAAAGTGGGAGACTTTCACCTCTCTACAGAAGGACAGCCACAACACCATTAGGCTTTGTAATAAGGAATTCAAGGCACTCATCATCCATGCCACCAAAACCAATAGTACACATAGCTGGGGTTTCATGATGACTGTGTAGTGCAGGGGGTGACAGATGGCCAGAAACCTGTCATAAGCCATCACAGCCAGGAGAAAGTTGTCCAATCCAGCCAAGAGTAGGAAAAAGTATATCTGAGTGATGCAACCTTCATAGGTGATGACTTTGCTCTGAGTCTGGATGTTCTGAAGCATCTTGGGGACAGTGGTGGAGGTGAAACAGATGTCTACAAAGGACAGGTTGGCCAGGAAGAAGTACATGGGGGTGTGGAGGTGGGAGTCAGAACTGACAGCCAGGATGATGAACAGGTTTCCAAACACAGTGATGAGGTACATGGAGAGGAAAAGCCCAAATAGGAAGGGCTGCAGTTCTGGTTCCTCTGATAATCCCAGAAGAAGAAATGCTGAAATTTGTGTATCATTTCCTTGTTCCATGTGGTGGAGGTGACTACCAGGGGAAAAAATATGACTAATATTCTCAATAATGAACATTACAAATATCATTGAAATTCTACAATTTTTATATTCTATTAGTTTTTTAATAAATTTATTTTTTATTTGTGTTCAATTTGCCAACATATAGAATAACACCCAGTGCTCATCCCATCAGTGCCCACCTCAGTGCCCGTCACCCAGTCACCCCCACCCCCTGCCCACCTCCCCTTCTACCACCCCTACTTCATTTCTCAGAGTTAGGAGTCTTTCATGTTCTGTCTCCCTTTCTGATATTTCCCACATTTTTATTTTGCATCAAAAAGTCAATATCCATAGGTTTTGTATGGAACTTGTCTCCTGTCAAGATCCCCCATAGGAGATCTGAAAAGGAATGTGCATCCCAAACTTGGCCTTTTCCCCAAGTACTCACGTGTTTTATACTTTTAATGCAAATCAGTTCAGTGAAGGAGAGGATAAACAAATATAAGATCAAATAGAATACAGAAGGTAACAGATGCTATGAAGAAAAAGCTGGGAAAAAGTAAAGAGTGCATGGAGGTGCTATTTTTTGCTGTTTGCTCAGGTAGACCAGCACACATTTACACAGAGACTTCAGGAGGAGACAGCAGGAGACATAAGGTTACCTGGGGAAATGTTTGCCTATCAGAGAGAACAACCATGCAAAAACTCTGAAAAATGACTTGAGTCTTTAAAATTGATTTCTAAAAGATGAGTGTGGTTGACACACCATGTTACATTAGTTTTGGGTGCACAACACAGTGATTCAGCAAGTTTACACATTACACTGCTCTCACCACATTTGGAGCTGCCATCTGTCACCACCCAACACTATAACAGTATCACTGACTATATTCCCTAGGCTATCTTTTATTCCCATTCATTTCTTACCTGGAAACCATATCTCCCACTCCCCTTCACCAGTCTGTTTTTCATTTATTCATTTATTGTTTTAAAAATCACCACCAGGCTATTCTCACCTCCAATCATAATAATTAGGCAAGCAATGATACAAGGCCAGCTGTCCACATAGATTGTCCTTTCTCTAAAAATATAAAAATGCATCCAAATTCCAGGAGTTACTTATCCTATGAGCATGTCACCATGGGTCTCCATTTTAATGTGATCATTTTGTGTCCAGTATTTAAAGAAACATAAAAAAATAAGTTCCAAAAACATTGAGGAAGGAACATGGGGAGAAAGAGCTAATAAGCTCAGGTGCTTCCTAGAGATGGGGAAGAGGAGCAAACGTCCTTGGTTCTGGCAGCACTCGAATCCCAGTTATATTCCTTCATACCCAGAATAATAAAGCAGCAAAAAGCAATGTATCCAAAAGAAAATGTAGGGATGACGTTATGTTATCAAGACATCTGACCCGTTGAACACCCCCCCCCCATAATAACAAGCAAAAGGGATTGAACGTGGCGCCGGATCTGCAGATGGCTGTTGTCTCTGAGAGCCGAGCCCGGCCCACACAGAAGCAACTATGTCTAAGGGACCTGCAGTCGGGATCGATCTTGGCACCACCTACTCCTGCGTGGGTGTCTTCCAGCATGGGAAAGTGGAAACAATTGCCAATGATCAGGGAAATCGAGCCACCCCAGGTTATGTCACCTTCACGGACACCGAACGATTGATCAGTGATGCTGTGAAGAATCAAGTTGCGATGAACCCCACCAACACGATTTTCGATGCCAAGTGGCTGATTGGACATAGATTTGATGATGCTGTCATCCAAACTGATATGAAGCATTGGCCCTTCATGGTGGTGAATGATGCTGGCAGGCCTAAGGTCCAAGTAGAATACAAGGGGGAGACAAAAAGTTTCTATCCAGAGGAGGTGTCCTCTATGGCCCTGACAAAGATGAAGGAAACTGCAGAGGCCTACCTTGGGAAGACTGTTACCAATGCAGTTGTCATGGTACCTGCATACTTCAATGACTCTCAGTATCAGGCTACCAAAGATGCTGGAACAATTGCCGGTCTTCATGTACTTCGAATCATCAACCAGCCAACTGCTGCTGCTATTGCTTATGGTTTAGACAAGAAGGTTGAAAATAACGTGTTGATCTTTGATTTAGGAGGTGGCACTATTGATGTGTCGATCCTTACTATTGAAGATGGGATCTTTGAGGTCAAGTCCACAGCTGGAGATACCCACTTAGGTGGAGAAGACTTTGACAAACGAATGGCCAACCATTTTATTGCAGAATTCAAGTGCAAACACAAGAAGGACATCAGTGAAAACAAGAGGGCAGTCCACCGTCTCCATACTGCAGGTGAACAGGCTAAGTATACACTTTCTTCCAACACCCTGGCCAGTATTGAGATTGATTCTCTGTATGAAGGAATTGACTTATATTCCTCTATTACTCGTGCCCGGTTTGAAGAATTAAATGCTGACCTGTTCTGTGGCACCCTGGACCCTGTAGAGAAAGCTCTTTGGGATGCCAAGCTGGACAAGTCTCAGATCCATGACATTGTCCTGGTGGGTGGTTCTACCTGTATTCCCAAGATTCAGAAACTTCTGCAAGATTTCTTAAATGGAAAGGAACTGAATAAGAGCATCAACCTTGATGAGGCCATTGCTTATGGTGCAGCTGTCCAGGCAGCCATTCTTTCTGGTGACAAATCTGAAAATGTTCAAGATTTGCTGCTATTGGATGTCACCCCACTTTCTCTTGGTATTGAAACTGCTGGAGGAGTCATGACTGTGCTCATCAAGCGCAATACTACCATTCCTACCAAACAGACACAAACCTTTACTACCTACTCTGACAACCAGCCTGGTGTGCTTATTCAGGTCTATGAAGGTGAGCATGCTATGACCAAGGATAACAACCTACTTGGCAAGTTTGAACTCACAGACATACCTCTTGTTCCTCGTGGTGTTCCTCAGATTGAAGTCACTTTTGACATTGATGCTAGTGGTATCCTCAATGTGTCTGTGGTGGATAAGAGCATAGGAAAAGAGAACAAGATTACCATCACTAATGACAAGGGCCGCTTGAGCAAGGAGGACATTGAGCGAATGGTCCAGGAAGCTGAGAAGTACAAAGCGGAAGATGAGAAGCAGAGAGACAAGATGTCTTCCAAGAATTCACCTGAGTCTTACGTGTTCAACATGAAAGCAACTGTTGAAGATGAAAAACTTCAGGGCAAAATCAATGATGAAGACAAACAGAAGATTTCTTGACAAGTGCAATGAAATCATCAACTGGCTCAATAAGAACCAGACAGACTGCAGAGAAGGAAGAATTTGAACATCAGCAGAAAAAGCTGGAGAAAGTCTGCAATCCCATCATTATGAAGCTATACCAGAGTGCAGGAGGCATGCCAGGAGGAATGCCTGGAGGCTTTCCTGGTGGTGGAGCTCCTCCCTCTGGTGGTGCCTCCTCTGGGCCTACCATTGAAGAGGTTGATTAAGCCAACCTGATGACAGGTCTAGCTTTGTTCCACACATTTGAAGGACCCAAATTTGTAGCAAATTCCATGGCAGTTTTCAAGTCAAGCTTCTATAGTAAATATACTGGGCATTCTTGATACTTGAATATGGAATATGTGCACAGGGAAAGGAAATTAAACATTGCACTTTCTAAGCACTGTATTATTAAGTGGAAAATGCAATGTCTTAAATAAAACTGTATTTAAAATTGGCAAAAAAAACAAGCAAAAGCACAATTCACAAAATGAAATATACAGGGTACGACAAAAGTATGGGATTTTAAAAGATTATGTGCTAAAATAACTTTACTAAATGATATAAAATGCCAAACTTTATAATTAGAAAGTTGGGTTTTGAATTTTGGATGTTTGTATATTTGCTATTTGCACTTGGAGGGCAACCACCCTCTACTAAATGTTAACATCTTCTGCAAAATAGGAGGGCTAGAGATGTTCATCCACTTAAGGCGGTTGACAGATTTAGTGAATATGTAGACAGAGTTGAGCATAGTTCCCCCTGTTGATAATGAGTGCTTATTATCACTGGTGATGAGATGTGGCTGATTTTTTTCCTTATCTCCAAAGTCCCCATCACTTCCCCACCCCTGGGTCCCCAATTCCACAGCCTTAATTCAGTCCCTTGTCAGGTCTCCACCTACTATAGGCTTGTGCCCTCTAGCCATATTAATATTTACCCAGAGAGATTTTTCTATATTGCATGTTAATTTACTATCCAACTCCCCACCTTAACTCCTTCCCAGGGACTCCCTTGTTCAGCTGGAGACTGAACCCCAATTCCATAGCTTCCAACACTTGGCTTGCCTCCCCTGACTCACCCACCAGCTCCCTACTCATGCTGCCTCACCCACATTGATGTCACAAACACTGAACTTGAGTTGTATCTTCACCTGAAGCCCCAGTCTCCAGGTTCAGAGCCTCCATACACCTGCTGCTCTCTGCTTGGAGTTGCCCACTGGTCTATTTGGGATCATTCATCTCCTATCTTCACAATCCCATCTCCTCTTTCAGACTACAAGGAGTCATCTCCTTCATCTCCTTCCTCCTCTTTTTATTTTTGTTTTGTTTTTTAATATTCCCATAGAAAAATAACATGTTCTTCTGCAATAATTTAGATCAAGGGGTTATCATTATATAGTTTTTATTGAATTTTATGTATATTTCCCTGGTAGAACATGAGTCTCCTGGGGCATGTTATAAATACTCCTGCCCTTTAGGAATAAATACAACTTGCATGAAGAATGAGAGAATCTTTGATCACAGAAGTTGCCAATGATGAGAGAGAAAACAGAAGCAGGGAGCTACTAACACAGAAATGGAGAGCGTGGAAGAGGAATGTTTCCCAGATTCTGAGATTGGTACTGTTTGTGAGGTCAGACTGTGGTTTGTAAAAATACATGAATGGATAAAGAATATGTAAT